AGCGTTCATCCGCTACATGTTCCAACACGTCTTGAGGTTCATCTGCTACAATGGTTCCACCACGTCTTGAAGGTTCATCTGCTACATGTTCACTCACAATCTTGAAGGTTCATCCGCTACATGTTCCATCACGTCTTACAGGTTCATCGCCTACATGTTCATCACGTCTGAGGTTCATCCGCTACATCGTTCCACCACGTCTTGAGGTTCATCCGGACATGTTCCTCACGTCTTAAGGTTATCCGGCTAATGTCCACACGTCTTAAGGTCATCCACTACATGTTCCATCACGTCTTGAAGCGTTCATCCGCTACATTGTTCCACCACGTCTTGAACGGCTTCATCCGCTACATGTTCCACCACATTCTTAAAGGTTCATCCACTTTAACATGTTCCATCACGTCTTGAAGCTTTTCATACCGCTATCATGTTCCACCACGTCTTGAAGGTTCATCCGCTACAATGTTCACCACATTCTTAAAGGTCTCTCCGCTACATGCTTCCATCACGTCTTGCAGGTTCATCGGCTACATGATCTCACCACGTCTTGAAGTTCATCCGCCCTACATGTTCCATTCACGTCTTGAAGGCTTCATCCAGCCATACACTGTCCCACTCACATCTAAAGGTTTCATTCCGCTAACCTGTTCACCCACGTCTTGAAGGTTCATCCGCCTACATCTCACGGCTTGGAGCTTTACAGGTTGCATCGTTGGCTCGGTGTTCTCGGGCTGGCCTGTGCATTCCAATCCCGCCTCGACCGACAGTTCCTGACGCAGGGCTGTTTCCTCGGCCGGCGTCTTGCGCTCTGCCCGCGCTCGGCTCGCCCGCACGCTCTGCCAGCGCGCGGGTGGCGGTGGCGGCTCGCTGTCCGCCGCTGCAGCTGGCTGCGGGCAGTTGCCTTGTCAGCCGCCGCCCGACAACCCCCTCCCTCACAGGTACGCACTTTGACTACTATTGGCACAGGGGTAGCAAATTAATTTGAAAATTTACAGGGCCATTCGGGCTGTAGGTATAAGGGATTTTACAGGGCGACCGGCAAATTACCAGGCCCGATCATTCCGCAGATACCGCAGAATTTAAAAAGAAATAAAGACTGATATTTGAATTTTTTACAATCGGCCTTATTCACCAGTATACAAAGCAAACATATTCAGTGCTACTAATGAAGCTGTCAGAATTATCACTGCCCCTCGCCTGGTGTCCTCACTCTCGGACTCTTTTTTAACTGTGTGGCTGGCCTGCACCATACGAGCAATCAGACAATTGTGCACTAGGATTTCTACGCGGGCCCGTCGGGTTGATTTAGTATTTGAATGTCAGGCCCGAGCCTTAAAATATGCCGCATCGGCGCCCCGGGCCGTTTTAGGATTTGACCCATACATGCATGTAAGCCAACAGTTCTTTGTCTCACCACTCTAGAGAACACACATAGTGTCCGTGTTGTAGCAGAGGTGACAACCATGACGACCTAGCCTCATTGTAACCACGGCAAACAGTGCCTGCCCCCCACAAATCCTCGTTCCCTGCCTCGTAACCGTAACGACCGCTGTCCTCGACTGAGCGTCGTTCTCGCTCCGCAGGCTGCGCTCGTTGCGGCGTTCGCCCTGACGAAACGGCCGGCATCCTCGCCGTCAGCATCCTATTCGGCTACCTCTACGAGGCGAGTGCTGGCAGTGGCGCCGCCTGTCACCGCCCCGGCCCCCGCTGTCATCCCGTGACTGCGGACGCAGATGACTGGCGACGCACGTCGCGCTGGCCACGCCCGGCAAACGACTGACGACCATGACGACGGATGCTGCGGTCTCTCGCCGCCAGCTGTCTCGACCTGCTCGAGCCTGTCTCGACGGAAGTGGCGCCCACTAACTTGATCATCGCTCGTCTTTTATATGACTGCGGTGATGGTTGCAGAGCCCACCTGCCGCTGCTTGCTAAGTTTACCGGCGCACATCGCGGTGCCCCTACTGCTGGCTGCTCTGTGGAGTTACGCGCGCCATGCGCTGGCCGCCCCCTACCATGTGTGCTGCTCGTGAGTTCACGCGCGCCATCAGCGGCGCCCCCTACCTGATGCTGCCTTCGTGAGAAGCGCTCGGGGTAGCTACTGTGTGTGAGGCTTACTGCGGTAACGCTTCATGTTCTGCTCAATCTCAGTCGCCACCTGATTGCGCCAACGCGGTTTCGCTCTTTCCAGGCGGGGCGCCGTCACCAACAGCAGCCGTTAACAAGCGTTGCAACGTTGCAGGAACCACTACGGTCAGAGCTGCCACTGCGTCATTCTGGAAGCCGTGCAGCGGCAGCATCCGTGCTAGTGATGTGCTGCGGCTTACCATGGATACGATCTGCGCACCACAGACGACGGCGGGGAGGAAAGAGAGTGAGTGATCACTGCTAGACGGAACGTTTCATTCATTTTCGGTATGTATATACTCCAATATGTAAACGAAACTCATAAATAATCACATCAGAAAACCTTGATAGCGTAGTGCCTACAAACGACTACAGAAGACGACGTGGAGATTTCAGTCTTCTTTCATTCTTTGTAACTGGGATTAATGCTTTCTTTCAGAGAGGGAAAGCAAAACGTCCACTGCTCGCAGACTGTAATGTACTGCGTCAAAAACCGCTATGCAGGCAAAAAACACCTTCATGTAATCCGTCCAACCGGGGTGACCTTTAACTAAGCTTTGTGCCAACGACAGAGAAACCTGAAAACCATCAGCGCCACCTGTTGGGATTACCCATTGACTGGCATGCCCCGAGCGGTCGATTCGCGGCAATGCCGAAGATGTACGAGGAAGTACAGCGGAATAGAGGACAAGTCAGGTTGAAGATATGCCTTTGTTAAATTGTCTTACGACACAAATTTTCTTGCCATTTTTTTTACATGAAAAGTAAGAACTAACGGGACTAAAACGTATCGTCAAATTCTTACCTGATAGATTCGTTTCTCAACTTATGTTAAAAATCCACAAAGACCAGGATGATTTCGATATTAGTTTCCTGACAATTTAATTGGCTTGACTATGGGCTATTATGAGTCACGATGTGTATGTTCACATCAACAATTATAGTAAATAAACAAGTTATAATGCAGCAATTTAACCTATAAAAAGTGAACCAGATTACTTATATTTTGTAAAAAAGTGGAAATTACTTTTTTTTTTTAGTATTTACAGGTGACGTAAATCATCCTTTTAATAGTTCTCTCAGCTTCTGGTGTGATATATTTTTAACTTGTTTTAGCTTACACACAGCCACAAGTCACTATTTTGACCCAATTCTCGACCTAACCTTTACCCAAGTTTGAATCTTAGTTCAATCACTGCCCTGATTCCAGATCTCATTTCCTGCGTCTTCACATATTAACAAGGAAACCATATGATTCTGTAATTTGCTCCTATTTCTCCTACGTTTTTGCGCCTCTCAATTTGCATTCATTTTCGTACATACCTTCTGCCTAGATTCAACAGTTGGCAACACGCATAGCCTACAGAAACCTCAATCATTATACTCCCGCTCGCACTGCTGCCAGCGCCCCTACCTTCAGCTAGTCGCCCTGCACCGCCCACAGCGCCCCCTACCTTCAGCTAGTCCCCCCTGCACCCGCCGCAGCCGCGCCCCCCTACCCTTCAGCGGAGTCCAGCCGTGTACGGAGCAGCAGGGCCGCGGCGCTCGAGCTCAGCGAGTGCCGAGGCAGCCGCCGTGCCACGCCGCAGTCCGTCTCGACAATGCTGAACAGTTCCAGTACGCAGCCGAGGACATTCGTCGACTACGCTCCCGGGGGCAGACGCCCTGTCACGCGTACAACCTTAAACACCTTGAAGCATAGGTAAACATGAAAGCTATGTAACACTATGAACAGCTACTGTAAACACCATGAACAGCTACTGCTAACACGATGAACACGCTAAGTACACTTATGAACAGCTAGTAACACTATGTGACAGCTAGTAACACATGAACAGCTATGCAACACATGAACAGCCTATGTAATACATTAACAGTATGATACACAATGAACAGCTATGTAACACATGAACAGCAGTAACACATGAACAGCTATGTAATACATGAACAGCTATTAACACCATGAACAGCTATGCTAACACATGAACCAGCTATGTAACACCATAACAGCCTATGTAACACCATGAACAGCTAATGTAACACCATGAACAGCCCATAAGTAACACTATGAACAGCTAGGTACACGAGGACAGCTATGTAACAATGAACCAGCTATGTAACACAATGAAACAGCTACAGTAACACCATGAACAGCCATAGGTAAAAACAATGAACAGCATGTAACACATGAACAGCTATGTAACACATGAACAGCTAAGTAACACATGAACAGCTAAGTAACACATGGACAGCTAAGTAAAACATGAACAGCTAGGTAACACATGAACAGCTAAGTAACACATGAACAGCTAATTAAGTAACGCACGAGTAATATATACGTGTAACGATACCAGAAGTGTACGAAAGGGGGCTCGATCTTTTATGTACCACTGATAGCAATTTATCATTTTCTTGTTATATTGTTACATTGTTGTGTTCCTAAATTATTATATGATGATATTGTTATATTGTGATGTTATTGTATGATGGTTTTATATTGTTATGTACACTGTTATTATTCTAGTGCCGGTTTATGTGTTTTGATCGTTACTCTAGTGCAGTGCTTCTTGAACTGGTGAATGGTTCACTCAAGGGTGAATGAAATTATTTTGGGGTAAATGAAATTTTGTGATAAAGACTCGAGGGAGAATGACACTGAAATAGTTTAAGAAGCACTGCTCTACTGCATACATCGTTTATGTGTGTGGATGTTTTAGCATACAACGTGCGTTTGTGTGTGCATGTTTTAGCATACAACGTGCGTTTGTGTGTGCATGTTTTAGCATACAACGTGCGTTTGTGTGTGAATGTTTTAGCATACAACGTGCGTTTGTGTGTGCACGTCGTGGGGTTTGATTCCGCTGTCGACGTACCCTTTGGCTGCCGACCATCGCACGATGGTGTCCTTATCTCTAAGTCCGGTCAGCAATAACTCTGAAACATAAACACACAAGCTTCAGTTTTTAGCACTTTTTTTGCAAATTCACACATTATTATGTATTTACTTTACGAGTGAATGAAAACAATGAGTTTTTGTACGTTCCTGGTATACATATATACGAGGGAAAAAATATAAGAATGATATTATTCTTATTGGCTTATATTCCCTTAGTCTCCTGACGTATAAAGTAACCGATCTATAAACCCCTGGATGTATGAGCAATGTCATATATATTAATTTATTTGACTGTGAAATTAAACCATGACATACTTGTCTGAACTGAGGTCTGACAATGAATATGAACGAATTTTCGAAATCTGTTTGTAACTCACTCACATACTCCCTGTATATAAACATATATTAATAACCGCTAAAGTTTTAACGGAATATGAATTAAATCGAAATTCTGACATACTACAAAACAACACAGACCTATTGAGTCTAGAGCGTATGCTCTACAATCATTGTACCTATCACAGTTTCGATTTCATCGGGGATATCGTAGTCCTCTTCCTCTGGATTTTCAATGTGCAGAGTTGAGTCACTCTCAACCTGCTGCTTCTGAAGGTTTTGCACCAGAGTCCGATTGCCTCTCTTATACCTACCGACCGACAGACAGTGCTGTTAACGACACATCGTTAGGGCATATATGCATGGCATGTAATTAATGAGAATGCATCTCGCTGCCACGAATTACATATATACATATTCTGCATTGAATACACACATTCTGCATTGCATACACATATTTTGCATTGAATGCCCATATTCTGCATTGAATACACATATTCTGCATTGAACACACATATTCTGCACTGAATACACATATTCTGCATTGAATACACATATTTTGCATTGAATGCACATATTCTCAATTTAATACACACATTCTGCATTGAATACACACATTCTGCATTGAATACACACATTATGCATTGAATACACACATGCATTAAACACACACATTCTGCATTGAATACACACATTATGCATTGAATACACACATGCATTAAACACACACATTCTGCATTGAATACACA